ACCAGACTAGGCAGGGCTATTACACCTGTGCGCCTCATGTGACCTAGATCAAGGAAAAGCCAGGCTGGGCTGATTGTTCCTATTTGTGCAAGCATAAATCAGAGTGGGTGAGGGTTGTTTGGGCTTTGCCGCAGCATCAACTGGCAGATGCTAGCACAGGGGGCTAATTCTGTCGAACTGCAGAACCACATGGAGAGTGCATGATCTGGGAGTGGGAGTAGCCTACAAGGGAAATAGTGGGTTCCTCTGTCTTGGGTTACCACCCCCACTGGAGGGCACGAAACCCAGGACAGGGGCTGGGGTGGCTAGACAGAAAGGCACCCAACAGCATGTGTGTGGGCTGGATAGTCGGGCTCATCGGGTTGAAGTAGGGTTCAATGTCCATTGACATGTATGAGAGCTGAATGGGATGTGGGACAGACTGGACTAGTTTGCTGTATATACTGGCAAACCAGGATATGGGGTGGGCCTTGTGGGGGTTATTGTGAGTCGCTCCGACTAGGCTGCAGCTCCCACTGGTTTATGCGAGGGCCAAGTGTGTGCTGGGCAGAACTAGTGCGTACTGCAACACCCATTGGTTCGCATGGAAGATAGCACTGGAAACAGAACCAACCCAGCAATTGCAACCACCAGCTGATTAGGGCAATGGACTGTGCTGGGCCCTGTACTTGCTAGTACATACAAGAATCTGGTCTGGGAACACCTCAGACAAAGTCTCTTTGGGGATCTCCCCAATGAAACTGCTGGACTCAGAACCCTAACCCTGAAAAGACAGAAGACAGAACAAGTCAATCAACCACCTCAGCTATATGTTGGCAGTGAAAAACTAGGCAAATGGAGACTCTAAGATGAACTATGTCAATCAGTGGATTCTTCAACAACCTCATTGTGCTTGGAGTGGCAAGGAAGGCAGCAATTCATGGCTGTTGAACTATCAAAACCACTAGAGCAAGACCCTTGGAGCATGCCCCACATTGGGACCTAGGATGGGTGGGAGACTGGGTGGGGCTTCTCCCTTAAAATACCCCTTTACCTCACATACATGAAAGAAACAATGTGGAAGGGCCCAGTGGTGTGGCCTAGCAGCTAAAGTCCTTGCCTTGAATGCGCCGGGATCCCATATGGGCGCCAGTTCTAATCCTGGCAGCTCCACTTCCCATCCAGCTTCCTGCTTGTGACCTGGAAAGCAGTGGAAGATGGTCCAGGGCTCTGGAACCTTGTACCCACATGGGAGACCCAGAAGAGGCTCCTGGCTCCTGGCTCCTGGCTCCTGGCTCCTGACTTCATCAGCTCAGTCTGGGCCATTGTGGCCATTTGGGGAATGAACCAGCAGTGAAAGATCCTTCTGCCTCTCCTTTCTGTAAATCTGACTTTCCAATAAAATAAATATATATATATATTTTTTTTTTAATTATAAAAATAAATGACCCAAGAGAATCACGTAAAGATCAACTTGTGAATGATTCCATGAGTTATACTTTATCCCCAAAGACAAGGAAAACAATATACATAGTTTAAAAGAATCTTTTTTTTTTAATAATTGGCATAACATCTGAATAGTTCCTATGCAGAGGAGTGTTGAACACCAGGTGGGGTTGTAAATACTGTGGTGATGGGGAGAAATGGTGCACAAACCAGAGAGAAAGGTCGTAAAATATAGATCAGAAAGCAGTGTCACACACTGACCATACCTTTGCTAATCTTCCATCTACTAACTCAGATAAATAAAGGTAAGCACAGCATGTGTTTCTAAATTCATACTCTGGAATGCATCCTGAATCTTTCTTGATCAGCACAAAGACATCCAGTGATCTTCAGAAAATAAAAATGAGAAGCAAGTGTTCGGACCCCTTTGCTTACAGTCAATGAGGTATCCTGGGTAAAAGATCCAAGAGCTATGGAACCTGTGGTCAACAAAGGAAGCCCACCTGAAATTCCATTTGTAGTTTTAAAATTTTTACTTACTAACTTGCAAGACAAAGAGAGATTTCTTTCCATTTGTCCATGCCCCAAATGCCTACATCAGCATGGCTGGGCCAAGTTGAAGTGAGGAATCCCACATCTCCCACATGGGGGGCACGGGCCTAAGCACTTAGCCCGTTACCTGCTCCTTCCTGGGATGCACGCTAGCAGGAAGGAGACCTAGAGAGCAGAGCTGGGACTGAATGTGTATTCCAGAATGGGATGTGAACATCCCAGGCAACTTACCCACTCTGCCAAATGCCCACCCCCCTCCCCAGCACTATTTTTTTTTATACCACTTCTTGAAGTGAGAAAAGAAAGTGAGCAGCCCCCTTCTGGTTGGGGCAAGCACAGCTATGTTTCTTCTGCAACTTTTTGATTGAAAAGTTTGTGTCATCTGTGTGCAGTTCATTTCTCCGAGGGGAAAAAGCAGAGAGGAGGAAGACCATAGCAGCCAGAACGTGGTGAGACTATTCTAAAAACCAAGTCAAGATCCTGGGAGATTGCTAACTGCATTCTCTGCCAAGGTGTGGAGACAGCGGTGGCTTGAAAAGACACTTCACCTTCCTGGGGTGTTGGTGTCGAAGGCAAGAAGTGCATGAAATATGTCAATACAGTGTGATGCTTGTTGAATAAGGAAGTTTCCAGTGAGTGTTAGACACTGAGTAGGAAAAGCAAAGGAAAAGAGTAGTGTTTTCCCTGGCCCCCTTCTGTCTGCAATGTCTTTGTTTCTGGAACATCTTGTGTAACATCCTCTATTGGAGTGATCACTGGTCTTCAGAGGGCTCCCTTCTTGGCTTAACAGGCTTCACAAATCACACCAAACAACAGATCATCAACTCATGAATAAAAAGTCAGTAATAGGAAATGGGCTGTGTCCAGAGCCTTTTTTCTAAGGGGCTGAAATCCACAAAGATACTAACCACAGACATTTCAATGTTTATAGAAACAAAACAAACAAACAAACAAACAAACAAAAACCTCGAGAAATACAACTGATTCCTCTGTGGATGACTCTCCCATGGCCATGTGTACCGGCTTAGGACAATTACTGTCACATGTCATAGTGGCAAGGTCCGGGATATGTATTTTTTATTATTTTTAAATGGGATGTGGTCATAACAGGCTTCCGGATTCCATGCTTAGGATACAAGAGGAAAACTTTTGTATTAACTAGAGATGAAAAGCAGATGTACTCCAACGTCACCAGCATGCATTTTAACTTACATGTGTATGCTGTGAGCCATGATCTGGAGGTTGGCAATGGGACAGCAATAGGCTAATCCTCCGCCTGCAGCACTGGACTCTGATGTAGGTGCTTGTTTTGTGTCTCGGCTACTCCACTCCAAATCCAGCTCCCTACTTATGGCTTGGAAATGCAGCAGAGAATGGCTCAAGTCCTTGGACTGCTTCACCCAACATGGGAGACCCAGAAGAAATCCCTGGCTTTGGGTCAGTTCAGCTCGGCTCCAGCAGTTATGGACATTTTGGAAGTGAATCAGTGGATTGAAGATCTCCTGTCTGCAATGGCATTTCAAATAAGAATTAAATCTTTAAAAATAAATTATCTATTCACTGCGTAAAGGCAGATAGATGGGAAGTTCAGCACATAAGCCATGCTTCTATGTATCATTGCTGTCGGTTTCCCCTCTCACCCTGAGGTTGTTTGTGTGTTACCTTCACAGGCTCCTTTAAGTTTTAAAATAGCACTGTTTCATAATAAGATGCTGGACTTTGTACTTGGTAAATACTTCCAATGAAAGAACCTCAACTGAATTTGAATTGTGGTAATGCAACAAGGTGGAGAAATCCACCATGGGGAGAGGGTTCGAGGAGGAGAGGGGGGAATCCCAGTGCCTATAACACTGTGTCACATAATGCAATACAATTAATAATTTTTTTAAAAATACCACTGTTTCTACACCCATAAATTTCCATAAGGTGGTTAAGAAGTTAAAGTACTGGACTGTGTGATCCCAAGTCTGTAGAATCAGGGCAATTGATCATGGTTGAATTAATTGAGATTATCAGGTTGGAGTTTTTGAGACCAGGCCTTCCCAAATTATGTCTATCTCTGCTACCTCCCCAAAAAGAAAAATCTGAATTGAATAGCTGCATGTCTCCAACACGCAGGAAGATGGCCAGATCGCTGCTTCGATTGGTATGTGCGGAAACTACTTACGCCTGCACCTTAAGGGGAATCCGTTCCATTGAACTGTCAGAATGGCAACAAAACTAGTTGTCACTTCTAAATGAGAAATCACAAACATGGCTGGGCCTCTGGAAAAGAGGGTCCACTATGTGAGGCAGAATGGAAGAGAGTATGGTCAGTGTGCAAATGGGTCCAGGAACCAGGCTTGTGTTGTCATGAATAAGGCAGACCTGGTGTGAGGGTGAGCTGACAGTTTTCACATCTGTTATGTCTTACCTATGTTCCTTATCAACAACTAAAAGGAGTTCTTCAGCTATGATTTGTTCATATCCAATTCTCTTTCGTTTTGTTAGATTTTGCTCCCTAAATGCCTTTTGAGTTCTGCTATTAGGAATGCACACACTCTTACTTTGTGAAACATCCGCCCAGTGATCTGAGGCTGCAGACCAAGGGCGGGTGGGACCGAAGTCAGCAGGTCCTAGGCAGCCAGGCAGAAAGCTGTGCAAACCCGGGGCATCCTGAGACGCTCAGAGGCATGACGCTGTCTGCAGGATGCACTGCTGCGCGTTGCAGGAGCTGGCGCCTCGGCGAGGGCAAGGAACTAGGGCGTCACGTTTCCTCGTGACGCGCCCCCAGCGCCTACAGCTGCTGCTGTCACCACGCAGGGCTGCGGACCAAAGTCACAGGGTGCGCGGGTCTCCCACCTCCCCGGGGCCTCACCGCCTCACCGCGTGCGCGCGGGTCACCAATGAAGCCCGGGCTGGCCTTGAGGAGCGGCCCCCGACTAAGTTGGAGCTGCCCTCGTGCCTCGGGCCACCCTCGGGAGCAGCTGCAGATTCACCCTGTGAGTCATGTATGCGCTGGAGGACTGGGTTCCAGGAACGTGGCTGCAGCTGTGGGCGCTGGTAGGAAGCGTGGAGGAGCAAGCGGGTGATCTCAGCACCCCCTGGTGCGCCTTCTGGCTGCCGCGAGCCCCCTGTGAACCGTTGCCGGAAGCCCAGGCCTGCAGGGAGCCTGAGCTTTTCCCTCTTTCTGCCCTGCTGTCCTTGGTGGCCCGTCCATCTGATGCGCCGTTGAAGGGTGGATGGGAAAGCTGCATGGGGAGGGGTGAGTGGTCCCAGGTTCCCACTCTTGGATCACTGACTGGCAAAGTGTGGAGGACCCAAGAGAGGACAGGCCAAGCCTCCAGGTGTTTCTCCTACAATACATGTGTTAACGTTTACAGATGCTCTGCCAGCAGTAAAGTTGGCTTCAGGTGGGCAAGTAATGGCAATTCTTCACTTGGAGGCACCTGCAGAGGTTTGTTACTTCGGAGGGAAGCCAGTCCCGAGATGGATAGGAAGCAGTAATCCGGAACCTTGGTCCACGTGGGAACATTTGAAACTAGAAGGAAAAGGGAACACGTGAGTCCCGCTTCTTCCTGAAGAATAGGCGGGCCCAGGGCGTGTAGCCCCTGCGCAGTGACCACAGGGAATGTGGGAGGCGGTGCACGCAGCATGGAGTGGTCGCCAGTACCGAGCGGCAGCATGGGGACAGCTGCAGCGTTAGCGCGTCCTCAGGCTGTCCAGATGGCAGCAAGGAAGTCGCGGCAACGCTCAGCTGAGACGCGGAATTGTGGGCTTACTGGGGTGGCGAAAGCTGGTGCTGTGGCGGCCAAACATGGGGCAAGGCCTGGTGCAGAGAAAGGAGGTACAGCAGTGGGGAAGTCTGGGGCCGGAGCAAACATGGGTGCTGTGGGGCTGGCGTGGGGAGCGCCAGGGTAACTGAGTTTACCCCTGAGGCCCCAGGCCTAGCTCCGTGGAGGTAAGTGGCAGCGCCTGCCAGCAGCGAGCCCATTCAGACCCCATCTTAGGTTCCTTAGTGTGAGGAAACAAGGTGGCTCATGTCAGAAGCTGGTGTCTGTGCTTGTAAAGAGACATGGACAGGGAACAGATGCAGAACATACTCCTCTTGCAGTTGGGAGACTAAGGGTGATAAGCTTAGAGGGAAACCCTGGGGAAGAATGAGGACCCCTGGACAGGAAACGCTTGGCAGTTAAGAACTGAGAACAGGTGGTTGGTGTATGCCCCCATCTCAACACAGGAAGGGGAAGAAGGATGTTACAGAAGGCGCAGGGGACTTGGAAGAGCTGTAACGGGGCTGCATGGGATTGTGAGTGGAACTCGAGAGGGATCTGTGTTGGACCAGGGACAGGGCCTGGGGAAGACGCTTAGGAACAATGAGGGAAAGATGATTTGGGGGTTGAGAGCAGGGTTCCTTAGGGAACCTTGAGAAAGGTCTCCAGGATACTGGGAACAGAAAGGGGACTTGAGAGAAAACGGGGTTAATAAAGCTTTTGAGAAAATGGAGAATTTGACTTTGGGTGAGAAGGAAATATTCTGAGGCTTGTGTTTGCCTTGTAGAAGGCTGAATCGGGACAGAACTTTGTTGCTGGTTGAGAGTGTATTGGCTTTAGAAGAGACGTCTGTTATGTGCCAAATTTTTAAAAATTTTTTATGGTAATGCCAGAAGCAATGTGAGGGTACTTGAAAAAGTTTGTGTTAAGAAAGAATTGTAAATCTGTTCTGATATGACTTTTTAAACTTTATTCCTATTGGAAAAGCAGATTTACAAGGAGTGACAAAGACCTTCCATCTGCTGTTTCACTCACCAGGTGGTCCCTGCCATCTACCTGGAGGACCGTGATGGGGTTCCTAGCTCCCAGCTCCAGCCTGCCACCCACCTGGCTGCCATGACCATTTTGGAGTACGAAGCAACTCTCTCTCTGCCTCCATATTTGCTCCTCTACCTTTCAAATAAGAAAACTAGATAATTTTTTTTAAAAAAATTTAGACATCTTGTGTTCAATTTCCTTCTATTAATTCTACAGTTATTCTCATCAGAAAGCCAAGCCAGGGGGAAAGAAATTGGAGAAACTAGTGATTATTATCCAGTAATTTTCAAAGGTCCAACCTAGAGTGAATAACATGAAATCCTCGAAAGCAATGGATATTCGTGTGTGTGCGTGTATTTGAACGATTCACAGAGAGGGGAAAGAGATGGAAAGATCCTCCATGCTCTGATTCACTCCCCCAGATGGCTGCAGCAGATCGTCCTGGGCCAGTGTGCCTCAGGGCTACAGCTGAGTCATTTCATTTCTCTGATGTACATCTCTCACAGGTGCCTGTGCTGAGGCAGACCTGGGGAAGCAGATAGGAGAAAGTCATGTGCTCTGGTAAATGTGACTGACCTCAAAAGGAGGAGGTCATTTCAGCGCAGCTGGGAACCAAAGCAGGGTAAGAAAAGCATGTGTTGATTTCAGAAGCATCAGGAGACATTGTGGGACGCCTAAAACCAGTATGTTCTTAAAAAAACCGCTCTCTCACTCATATAAGTAAGCAGATCTTTAGAAAAGCAAGCATCCTCAACATGACAGGCAGGATGGGAGAGAAGCTTCTTCCCACTGAATTTATGCACCTGGACAAAGATTGTCCACAAGATGACCGAGGGGGGCAGCAGTGCCCAGAATGCAAGGATGTGGCCGCAAACCAGCCCCAGCTTCCAGAGCTTCAGCCTCAGAGCTGCTCTTACTGAAAGATGCCCCCTACTAAGTGTGGGCGTGGAGGAAATAATTGATGCTACACAAGGGCTGGGACTGTCCATCTTGACAGTAAACAATGTGCTCTAGGTCTGGCCAGGCTATGATAAAGCGATCTTAGCAGTGCAAATGATTTCACTGCAATTCACCTGAACTTTAAACAGAGAAAGGTCTATGCCAGCACATGTTCCCATTTTCACCCGGGCTTCACAGGCCAGTGTCATTGGTGTATTATCAGGTAGAGTCATCTCAGTAGAGGGGCACTTCCTGCTAGAAAGCAGAGCATCTCAGGCAGGACTGCTGTAAAAACAATATATATAGTTTATTTCAAAGGCAGAGTGACAAGAGAATGAGAGACAAGGATAGGAGGGTGAGGGATGGGAGAAGAATGGAAGGGAAAGACCTTCCATGCGCTGGCTCACTCCCCCAGATGGCTGCAGGGGCCATGATTGAGCCGTGCTGGAAGCCTGGAGCCTTCATGGGAAAGGTTGGTAGCACAGACCTTGGAAAGGTCTCTTTCTCAGATGCTCTAATCATCATCTGGGTTCTCATTCTGTCTGCTGACTCATCTCCCAGTTGGTGCTGCTTTTATTCTTCAGACATGCAGCTCTCACCCTGCTGTCCTCACGTCCTCACATTCTCCTTCTGTCTTCTGTGTGTGGGTTCTGCTGGACTAGCTGGGAGGTCTCAGGATAAATTTCCAGAGTCCTCACATGGTCAGTGATTTCTCCTTGTTCTGACCAGATGCCCTAGTCTCTGCTGTGTCCCAAGGTGAGAGTGCTTCAACCCAGCTGATCCACCTCCTGGATTCCAGGTGTGCTCCCAGTGCCTGCAGGTGAAGACACCTGTACAGAATTCATCAATGTTTGACTGAAGGTTGCTGCACCTTTCTATGCAGCATTAAGTACCATTTCCCAGCATGCTGTCAGAATCTTGATTTGAGCTGGTCACACTCTGCATTGAATAGATGCTACTTCCATACTAGTTTAGGATTGACAGATAATGTGAGCAGGTGGTGCAGAGAAGCCTCACTTACCTCCCATCCCACACCCCAGCATACAATTTCCCTTACTGGTATGTTGCCTTACTGTGATATATTTTATCATGATTGCTGAACCAGTCTGGATACATCACTGTTAACTAGTTGACAGTTTTCCCTAAGGTTCTTTGTGGAACACTCATGTGAGTTTTGACAACTCTGTCAGGAATCACTATAGATCCAAAGAATCCCTCTGCTTGTCAATTTGTCCCTCTGACCCCCTTCACCTTTGTCAACTCCTCGTCTTCTTGCTTTCTGGATAGTTTGGATTTTTCTTGAGTGACATATTGGTGGAATCACACAGTGTATCTGTCAACTTTTAGTCTCTTTCTAGAATTACATAGTTAAAGTAGTTCCCTCATGTCTTTTCCTAAGTTGATAGTTCATTGCTTTTTTTCCCCCTCTGCATATTGTAGGTATGGTTATACCAGGGATGCTGTTTATTCACTATGTAAAGAACGTCTGGGTTACTTCCAGTTCTTGACAGTTATAAAAACAAGTCTAAAGTGACTTGCGTGCTGGTTTCTGAGTGAACATAAAGCCCCATTGTTAAGCACCTGCGAGTCTTCCAGCACACTTTATTTCCCACTGGCAGTGACTGACCATTGCTGTACTGCATCCTTGATAGTACTTCGTAGTATCAGCACTTTGGATTTTAGACATTCTCATGGGTAGGTACTAGTTTCTTGTTTTAATCTGCAAGTTCCTGAGGACAGATGGTTTGAATGTTTTTTTTAGTATGGTTGATTACCATTTATGTGTGTGGCTTTTTGGGGGGGGTGAGATGTGCCAATCTTGTCCATTTATTATCAGATTCTCTGTTTTAATATTGACTATTATTCTTTGTTTATCTTTGCTTATCAGGACTTGATCAGATCTCTGTTTCCCCCAGAACTTTTTCCAAAGTGATTACTTTGCTTCTTAAGAAAAACCAGATTGATTTGAAAGACCTCCACAGATGGAGAGGCAGAGAGAAATCTTTCTTTTGCTTGTTCACTCCCCAGATAGCCACACTGGTCTCAGCTGAGCGAGGCCAAAAGTCACATATTAGGAGCTTCATCCAGGTCTCCCATGTGGGTAAAATGGACCAAGCACTAGGGCCATCTTCCACTGCTCTTCCTGGGCCATTAACAGGGAGGTAGAGTGGAGCACCAGGGACCCACGCTGTACCCATCTGTGGTGCTGGAATCACATGCAATGGTTTTACAATGATGCCAAAACACTTTCAACTGATTCACTCGCCAAATGCTGTCACTCCTTGACCTAAAGCCGAGCCAGTAGTTTCTTCCATGTCACCTTCATACATGCACAGTCCATGGACTTGGGTCATACTCCTGTACTCTCCTAGACACATTAGCAGGGAACAGATGGGATTCAGACTGACACCCATATGAGATGCTGGCTCTGGCAGTGGATTCATCAGCTAAACCCCAACACTGGTCCCAAAACTCTTCTACGTCCTAGTTAAAATTAATTCAAGGAATTGATTCTTTTTGTAAATGTTGTGACTGAGTTGGTACTATATGTGCTTTCTCAGTAAGATTGTTATTGGTATGTAAAAATAGAATTGCTTTTATGGGTTGGGTTTGTATCCTGCAATTCTACTGCTCTGGCCATCAGTTCTGATAGCCTTGGGGGAATCTTTAGGTTGGTCTCTCCATGGAATCATGCCAACTGCAAGCAGAGGTCATTTGGCTTGATGCTTCCTATTTGCATGACTTTGATTTGCTTGCCTTGCCTCATTGCTCTGGCTGGAACTTCCAGTACAACATGAAATAAGAGCAGTTCGTGTGTTCTCTGTCATCTTTGGTCATCCTTGTCTGGTTAAAGATATCAAAGATATGAAAGATATGAATGTTCCCCACTTTTATATTACATTCGCCATGGGTTCATCGTGTAAATCCTTTATTATGTTGAGCAAGTTCCTTCTTAATAATTGCACTCCATTGCTGAGTCCTGGATGGGTTTTTTGTATCATTAGGTGCTTTTCTATGACTATTATAATAATTAGAGTTTGTATCTCCTTCTTTCTGTTGAAGTAATTTGTTATTGACCTGGGTTCGTTGAACCTTTCTTGCAACATTGATATAAATCCCACTCAATCAGGGTGAATGATGTTTTTGATGTGTTGCTGAATTCCATTTGCTGGAATTTGGCCAAGAATTTTTGTTTAGAGATATTGTACAGTTTTTGATTCGGAGTGCATCCTTATATGTTCTAAGAATCAAGGGTATGCTAGTCTTGAAGAATGAATTTGGAAGGATTCTCTCCCTTTCATATTGAGGAATAGAGCAACATTGGTGTTTGTTTTCTTAAACATTTTAGTAGAAGCTAGCAATGTAGTCTGCATTTATTTTTATAGGCTTTTTATTCCTCAGTCAGTCTTCTAACATGTTATTGGTCTGTTCAAGTTTTCTGTGCCCATGTGGTTCAACTTGGTTATGTTACAGGCATACAGGAATTTGGACATTTTATGTTTATTGTCCCATAGGTATATGTGATTGTTCTGAATAGTTGCTGATGAGCCACTGTATATCAGTTATGTCTGTTGTAGGATCTTCTCTTCCATCCCTAATTCTGCTCATTGGAGACTTCTCTAATATTCCTTAATTAGTTTACTTCAGGATGCATTGGGCTTTGTTTCCCCATTTCCAAAAGTGAGTTCATTTGAGCTTTTTTGTTTCAGATATTGGGGGTTTTAATCTTTCTTTATACAACTAACTTTGGATTGTATTTGTTCTCTCTTTTCTTAGATTCCTTTATTTATTTGAAATACAGCAAAAATAAAAACAAAAAACTTCCATCCACTGGTTTACTCCCCAAATGGCCGCTACAGCTAGAGTTGGGTGGCTGAAAGCTTTGAATTAGAAGATTCTTCCAAGTCTCCAATTTGGGTGCAGTGGCCCAAGTTTGGGATCATCCTTGCTGCATTTTAAGGCCATTAATAGGAAGCTGGATAGGAAGGACAGCACCCAGGATTAGAAGGCATCTGAAATGCCAATGTTGTGGATGGAGACTAGCTTGCTGTGCCACTGTACTGGCCCCTGATTTCTTATTCTTACCTTACATCTTTGAGATACATTGTTAGATTCTTTGTTTCATATCTCCATATTTCTTTTTTTATATAGGTGCCCTTTGCTATAAAGTAGCCTCTTACAACTGTTTTTGCTGGCTGCCACAGCTTTGAGATGTTGCGTTTCCATTTTCATTAGTTTCCAGGAAGTGAGTTCTTTTTGTCTGACTGGTATATTTTCAAAAGTCTTGTCTTTGAGTGTAAATACTTTCTTTTCCCCCTTTTAATCAGTGTGTATTGAAGGTTTCTAATTTTTGCTTGACTCACTTCATGATGACTAAGGTTTCTTTTCAGAAACCCAGTGAGGAACACTATGGCAGTTTAGATAGAATGAGATATGTCTCCTTGGAGGAGAAGCTCTGAAGTCTGGGGGTTTTGTTTTTGTTTTATTTTCTAGACATATGTTTTAATCTATAGGTAAGGTTGGGTGACTTCCTGACAGCCCTGGAGAAAGTAAAACTAGTTGGAAACTAATGCAGCCTAAAGGTTTTTAAGCACAGGGAGGCACTGAGGCTGGGAATGAGCTTGGGCAGGTGTTCAGGGTCAGCACAGGGTACACTGCTCCCTGATGGATGAGTGGCTGCTTCCCTACTGTGGCGTCCTTAAATCCAGGCAGGAGGCCTTGTGTTTCAGCCAATAGTAGCCTAGGCAACTGGAAGGCAGGGGCTCCTAAGATTCCATGACACCCCCCTCCTTCTAATTGTGTTATTGGTACAGCCAATAGCTACTTGGCAAGCAGGCCTTCGTGTGCTCACTGGTGTCAGTGACCAAGCTGGAAGTAGTTGCTTCAGAGCTGAGATCTCAGTACCTAACACTGATGAGATAGTGATTGAAGATTGACTTTCTGTGGGGTGTTTCCTAACAGTAAGTTTAGATATTTGGGGATTTTTTTGTCATCACTCTGCCCTAATGAAAGCTGCTGAATGTTACTTGTTTGAACTTATTTGGCCCTTGGGTTTCTTCCCCTAAGTCTCTGGATCTACCTCTCCTGCCAGAAACATCAGGATGGCAGTGCCGCTTAGTCCTTTGTATGACCCAACCAGTGAAATGAGCATGGTAGCCATCAACCAGGCAGTACTGTCCCAGCTGCAGAAGAATCAACAGGAATTGCAAGACCTCAAGGACATCATTCTTCATCTTGCTGTTGGCATCCGCCAAGGGGAACACAGTGAGTCCTGGAGATCTTCCCAGTGATGACTGACTCGAGTTTGCTCCCTGAGAAATGAAATGCTTTATAGAGTTGATAAATGTCTCTTCCTGACCTCAAGAGAAATTCCATTGCTACCATACACTGAGAAAGGTGGAAATTAGTGTATTTTTAAACTTAATTTTTAAACTTCTATAAAATGAGATACATTTTTCACAATGCAGATTTGGTCTTCTCCCCCTCCTGCTCCCTCCCTATTTCTCCTCTTATTACTATCTCCCAAATTGCTACAAAAGTTTACTCATTTGCTTCAAAGTAACAAGCTTAACTTGCCAGTGTGTAAAGGTATCATGGCATAACAGGTTGGTAAAAGGAAAAACTAACATATACAGGGCTAGGGGGAAGTAGCCTAGCGGCTAAAAGTCCCTGCCTTGCACATGCCAGGATACAATATGGGTGCTGATTCTAATCCCAGTGGTCCCGCTTCCCATCTAGCTTCCTGCTTGTGGCCTGGGAAAGCAGTTGAGGACAGCCCAAAGCCTTGGGACCCTGCGACCCTGCACCTATGTGGGAGACCCAGAAGAGGCTCTAGGCTTTGGATTGGCACAGCACTGGCCGTTGAGGCCACTTGGAGAGTGAATCAGTGGATGGAGAATCTTCCTCTCTCTCCTCCTCTCTGTATATCTGACTTTCCAATAAAAAATAATAGTAACATATAGAAAAATAAGCTAAAATAACAGAAACCTTATGCCTCAGGAGTATAGACTCATGAATATAGTGACATGCTGCTTACAGCTGCTGATTCCCAGTATGCCAACCTCACTGACAAAGAGTATGCTTCTGGTGCTGTGTGTATCATACAGATCACAGATCATAGAGAACATGATATTCACAAAGCATATGGTTTGCAGCTGGGTCCATTTTGTTAACAGATAAGATTTCATTCTTCATTATGGTTGAGTAGCACTCCATAGTGTGTGTGTACCACATTTTCTTTTTTATATTTTTTATAGTTATTTTCCCTGATGATGAAATCCATTGGTATGAATATATTTTTTCTTCCAGGGCTTTTGAATGGAGTCTGCTTTATACCCTTCTCTCTAGCTGGTGTTTTAAGTCTTAGGAAATTTTCCAACCAGGAAAGCTTGAACTTCTCAGCACAAGGGAACCATGAGCCTCTTGTGCTAGCAGAGCTTTCTTTTTTCTAACCATACAGAAATCATTACTTCCTAGGGCCTGGGTGGTGTCATAATGGGCTATTCCTCTACTTGCAGCACCATTATCCCATATGGGTGTCAGTTTGTGTCCTAGTGGCACCACTTTTAATTCCCTGTTTATGACCTGGGACAGCACAGGAGGATGGCTTAAGTCCTTGAGCAGGGCCCTGTTCATCACATGGAAGAAACTGGAAGAAACTCCCAGCTCCTGGCTTCAGATTGGCCCAGTTCTAGCCATAACAGCCATTAAGGGAATAAGCCAGTGTATGGAAGATATCTCTCTGTGTGTCTCCATCTCTGTCTTTCAAAGGAAAATAATCTTTGTTTAAAAAGTCACTGTTTCCTGCCCCACACCCAGGATGTGACTTCAACAGTTGCAAAGTATTGGAATTGCACTGCTGTGATTCAGTCACAGTTCAGGGAAGGGAATCATCGCTGACCCTCAGAACTCTGCGCCTTCCTAAGCTAGGGCTTGTTGAGGAAGTACTTCCATGGAGCTGGGTAGTGTGGTTTCTCCTCCCTGAACAGCGGCCTCAGCAGCATGGCCAGCTGTCCACTGAAGCAGGCATGTCTCTGTCAGGCTCACATTGGGAAGAATGCCAAGCCATGATTGAGTCTAAACTGAGGGAGATGCCAACAGCTGGAGAGCCACAGTGTGAGATGCCGGTGCCTACTGAGTTCACGTAAGGGGACTTTGTGCAGGGTGCCTGGTGGCTTAAGAGACATATGTCTGGGATGGGACAGCTCAACTGGGACATTATCAGTATCATGAAGGTCCTTCTTCCTTACATTTTCTCTCTTCCTCCCCCTCCTTAGGGAACTGCATGTCAAAGGTGCAGATCATACCCAAGAGTCGGATCAGGAGTCAGGGGCAGAGTCACAGACTTGTCACCTACCCAACCAATGTCCTCAAGACCTCATCCAGTGTGATCCTGAGAGTTTCCATGGACTAAGATTCCCAGAGCCCTTGGTGGTACAGGCCAGGACGGAAAGGCATCTTGTCTGCAGGATTAGTACTGGTGAGGCAACCATAGGAAAGTCTCCATTTTCTTTAGATCCCAGGTCCCTGTAGGGGACATGTTTCCAGCAGCAGCCCATTTCCACAGACTATTTGTGGTCATGACATGATCAGATTTGCCTGGGGTGGAAAAAAATGGGGAGCAATGTGTAGACATGAATTTTCCAATATTCCAAAGCTCTGCCTGTCTCTGGTGTCAGAGGCCTTTGCAGCAGGAGGTGGCACCCACAGTTTCAAAGAACAGCAAGGAGGGTGTGACAGGAGGCAGCTTGTTAGAAGAAAAAGAGCCCCGGGCTGAGAAGACCCATCTCTATCTTCAGCACTGTTCTCTCAGACAGCGGGTAGAAAATTGATCTTTTCTGGATTTCCTGCACTAGACAATGGGTCCACTAGCTTGTAACCTGGTAGTTGTGGTAGGACAGTGGCACAGGCATTTTACATAGGATAGAGCCATTTGCCATGTGGCATTGGAACAGGCACTTGAGATAGAACTTGTCCCTCGAGGTTCCAGGTTTGGCCAATGCAATGGGCATTTTGGCCGCAACACTGTCGAAGACATGACCCATGCTACTTCATTTGCAGTCGAAGACTCCTCCAGATATCAGCAGGACAAAGAACCTAACAAGGACTTGGTGGCCTCTGCAGACAGGGTGGAGGCCCACCCCAGGTGAGTCTGCACATGCCACAGTGGCCACCATCCAGCCATGTACCGTGGCTTTCCCTGGATCTAGGGTCTCAGGGAAGGTGGACTCTCAAGGACCACAGAGCCCACGGACTCAGTCCTGCTACTCGAGCACATCCAGCGTCTTAGCCCCATCCTGCCCTCTCTCCCAGCACTGTTCCCTGGAAACTCTCAGCGGGTGTGGTGACAGGCCTCCAGGGACTTTGGTCTCCAGGCCCCAATCAGGGTCCTGTCCCAGGACGCACCTGCCCTCATAGCCTTTGTGTAATCTGTGTTTCTCCATCTCCACCAGGCAGGCACTAACTCCCCTGTCCTTGCAAAGCCTCACAATGTCCCCATGAGCGGAAGACAGCCATTTGTTGAGTTTCAGCAGGTGGACTCTTTTCATGGTGGGCTTAGGAGGGAGGTTGGTCTCGGGGTGGTATCTGGTGACTGTGGGAGGGACTTGAGGGGAATATTGTGTATCTAAATCCAGGACACCCCTTTGCCTTACACACTTCCATCTCTTCCCTCCCCAGCAGCCTGACTCTACAATACTTGAGCAAGATTGAAGCCTGCCCATGCTGGCTTATCCTGGACTGCTGGGTCCTGTTCATGGTCCCTGAGGATCTCTTGCTGGGAATGCCCTGGGCCTATGCCTGGGTTCCAGACCAGGGGCTCCAAGGGACCTTCCACTGGCTGGAGGCTGTTGAAGGTAAGTTTCTGGTGTGCCAACCCTGCCAACCCTATTTGCCTCAGGCATCTTTACAGACACTGGCCCCATAGACCCTGCACACTATTCCCAGTGGCCACATGTGGCTAGCCCAGGGTGGGAGAAGGTAACAGTTCTGCCCTCATATTTTCATGCCTTCCATGGATGGCCAGGCAGCCATGGATTCATCTGGGCACTGTGGGAGTCTCCCTGCAGCTGTGTCTGCCCAGTTGCCCTGGGTCATAACGGCACTTGCACACCTGCAAGGCCAGATGTGTGTTGTGTGGGCCCAAATGGTCAGGTCCAGCATCTGTGGCTCTGAGCTGTCCTGAGCCCCGTGCCCCCGAGTACCAGGGCCAGGAGCATAGCCCCAATGGCCCATGTATGGTGCAGGTTTGTTCTAGCTTCCATTGCTGACTTGCTGTCCCAAGAGCTCCTCTGGCTGGCCAGTTGGTTGGTAGAGGCCCCTCTCTAGGGCAGCCAGCCTCCCAGCAACAGAGCTGGGACCAAGGATGCTGAGTTCACAGAGCTGATTGGAGGCCCAGGGCCTGGTTGCTGGTGCTTTTGATCCCTAGCTGGGGTGAGGATGGCAGTGTGCTAGCCCAGACAGAAAGTGTGCTCTGCTGGTTGGCAGAGGCTGCCAGAGTGTCCGTGCTGAAAACAGGGAATAGTCTACTGCTGTGTGTTCCCCAGTAGACTCATATCAGTGCTCTGCTGGTTGGCAGAAGCTGCAGGTGTGTCCGTGGAAGGCATGCAACTTTGAGGGATACCGGGAGGGCAGCACCCATACCATCCTTTCCTTGGTGTGGCTTGAGCTTGCCCTGTCTCCATTCATTTGCAGTAAATGGTGCCTCCAGAAAGCAACTGCAAATGGCAGACAACCAGGTGGTGGTGATGTGCAAGGATTGGGTGAAGCCCTGTTGTGGGTAAGTCTGCTCTGGGATGGTGGCTACTACCTGGATGAGGACTTCAATTGTGGGCAAGTGCCAGTGGCCAGTAAAGCTGGGGAAGAGAGCTATGGGATGCCCTGTGTCCAAAAGCTATGGTTGGGCCATCTGCTAATCAGTACTTCTGCCCAGCCCATACCCTACTGTGGTGGCCATCCCAGGACTGGTTCCCTGACCAGAGTTCATGGGCATGGATTGCATTCATCCTAGCCCCTGCCCAGGGGAGCTACAGATGGTGCCAGAGCCTGACCCCTGCCCAGTCCCAGTGTACTCTGCTTCCCCCATCTGCCACTCCGCCTCTGTGAAACCTCAGTAGTGATGGCATGCGCAGGTGGTGGGATGGGTGTTCATAGCAAGGCCAGGTTTCATTGGGGGAGATGTCCTTCCAGACTGCTCCACAGGCCCAGGGCATTAGGGAAAGAATTGTTGCTGGGTGGGAGCAGTGGAGATTTTGTGGGATCTACACCCATGACCGCCTTTCTTAAGCATGCATCTCTTCTCTCCAGCAGGCTGACTTCAGGATACCCATGTGAGCCCTGCATCTGTCTGTGTGCCCCACCCAGTGGTTATGTGTACTGCTGGGTCTCCTTCGTGGCCATGGAGAATATCACTACAAGAATGCCAAGGATCCAAGGCCAGTTCCCAGACCTGAGCCTTGAGGAACCCTTCCGCTTGGCTGATGCCATCGAGGGTGAGTTCCTGCCAGCTGGGCTTGCTCCCCACTTCCAGTTGCACATCAGGGCCCTGCCTGGTCTGGGGGTACAGGCTTATGGACTATCCATCGGAGGCCCCAAGATATTGTTGGAAGCCCTGGTAACTGGAAACGGGGAATAGTCTACTGCTGTGTTTCCCAGTAGATTCATATCACAGCCCAAGAGTACACAGGAAACCCTGTATCCTGGGATCACCACACCCATCACAGGTGTGTGCAGCTTGGCACAGCCCATGCAGTCACTGCAGCCTGCACATACCTCTATGGAAGGGCCCATGTGTTCCTGACCTGTGATGGAGATGCTGAGGCAGGTGGTGACTGGTGTCTTTTCCAGGACAGCCTTGATGAGTCCACAAACCTAGACATTGCCATTGCATCCTGCCATCATCCCACCAATTCCCTTGAGAATAAGACCCATGCCATGCTATCACATGCCCATTTACTCCTATTAAATTGATGTGGTTCCTCACTCACCTATAGCCCAGTGGCCGTACCAGAGCCTTGTGCAAGCCTGGGCAGGCAGATCCAGGACTGCCTTTGGGAGTTCTGCCCATGAGGCTTCCCACCCTCGCCATTGTCATTGATCACTCTAGTGCCATACCTGACTGCATATGTTGCTATGCCTCGGAGGTTTCTCCTAGGGGTTCCAAGTCCAAGTTCCTGACCCTTGGTTGAACCCATGGATGGCTAAATAATGGACTACCCTCCACAGCCTTGGAAGGGTGGCCTCCCACCCACAGCTGGGCTCTGGTTTAGGGCCAAGAGACTGAAGACATACTGTCTGCATATAGACGTTGGCTGCAGGTGGCGTGCAGGGTGCCCAGCTCCCCAGACATGGAAGGAGGGCACGCGGTTTGACAGAGGCAGCAGGCTGGCCCAGGCAGGCAAGTCCTCTCGTGTGAGGCCACTGCCCACCCAGGTGTTGGTCCCTCTGGAGGGCAGAGAGAACCACAGGTGCTCAGACAATGTGCTGGACCTGCTCTGTGGTCATGTCGCTGTGACCTTGGCCCTTGTTTGCAGTATATGATACCTGCGGTGATCAGCAGGACAAAAAACTTGACGAGAACTTGATGGCCTCTGGAGATAGCATGCAGATGGATGCCTGGTAAGTCAGGATGCTTGGTACTGGCTGCCATCCAAGCATGTGGACTCTTGGGTTTGCTGGGCTGCTCTACGTTGGGAGATAGGATTTGTGGGCAAGTGTGCAAAGGAGCCTGGGAGTTAATGGTGATGATTCCATTGGATCAGGGTTCCAACGATCACACCCCGGAGCCCAACACTATTCCTCTCTTGTCTCTGCAGCAGGCTAAGCTTGGACTCAGTACAGCAGCCAGAAGCCTTGTTCTGCCTCACTCCGGCTGTGATATATCATTGGGACCCTACTGAAGCCAATGTGAATGTTGCCTTTGGTCTGCCCTGTCCCTGTGGCTGGGAATGGAACCCGACCATGCATTTGAAGAGGCCATTCCACTGGGCCCACGCCATTGAAGGTGAATCCTCTTGTGGAAAACTTCTGTCAGCACCACTAGGCCTTCCACATCGCTGTTTGACTATGGGTTATGGGCTTGCTGGCCAGCCACCCACATGCAGCAACTCAGGATGCCCAGGACAGGGCAGGTGGGCCCTGTTGGGTGGCAGAGCTGCCAGACCAACTGTGGAAGGTGGTACTTGTTACCAGCCCAGCTGCCTCCCTCCCAGGCTATGCTGCAGCAGAGGGCAGTAGGTAGGCAGGTGGGACCTGGGCTCCCCTTTTTCATCTCCCTGTGACCTTGCCCCCTTTTGCCCACTTTTGCAGCAGCCCACACCTCTGGCACAGAGCTGGGAGAGGAAGAGGAAATGGACTCCTCCAGGGAGGAGGAAGAGGGAGCACTGCCCAGGGAGCTGGCTGAGGCCCACCATGGGTAAGTGTACATGGGCATATTTAGAAGGTACTTAGCTTGTACATCAGGTGAAGGCAGGGCCCGCTGGAGGTGGCGTTGTGTGGGGTTAGGGAGGGTGTGTGAGCTGTTGTTCTCCACATGCCTAGATGAAGGCAACTGAGGCCTGTGCTGGATCCTCCTCTCATCTCCCCACACTATCCTACCCCTATGACACTCTGTCCTGACCAGGGTCCATGCATGTGAGCTGGGCTCATCCTTGTCCACGGCCCCTAGGCCTAAGGAAGTCTGGGCTAGTGGGATCCTGTGGGCATCAGGCTGCCCCCCTAGTACCCTACCCCTTGCTTCCCTGGGTCCCCCTGACCCTTCTTTGTCTCTGTGAAGTCTGCTGTTGACAACAAGGGCATGATTGTGTTCAGTGGGTCTTTGTTGGTGTGCTGTTGCTTGATCTCCATCCTCTGGTAGTGTTAGGGAGACCTGGTGGTACTTACTGTTTCTGCCTTCTTCCCACAGTAACTTCATCCCTTTGTTTCTCCGCAGGTCTCTGCAGCAGCTTTCCATTGATGAACCTCATGTAGCCTGCAATTCCTGGCTCCTGTTGTCCACCAGAATTTTGTCTAAAATGCTGTGGATGATTTACCAAGGTAGGAAGATCAGGGACCTGGAAGGTGTCATGCGTGTGTGGATCACTGTGGTGCAGTGAGTGAATAAGGCCTCCTTCCTCATGTTTGCTGTGGGTCAGGCTGAAGTTCATATTTTTTTAAGTAGTCAGGTGGATGAGAGCTTGGGACAAAGGGCCAGATCTACTCCCTTATCTTGGGTTTCCCAATGTGTGCTGCTGAAAAGCTTATTTTCCCCTTAATTACCATAAAATAATTTGAGGGTTGATCTTTATCCTATTGCTTTTGGATTATAAGACAAGTTTGTTTCCACAGCCTGACTTAGCAGTGCTCAGTAGCCCCTGTTGAGTCTCAGTCACTCTAGGAGTCACAGGAGCTCAGACTGGTCCCATCTTCTGTCACTGGCAACAGAGCCTCCAGACTCTAATTTTTTTCTCTCTCTCCCTTTCAGGTACCAGAAATTCTTTGTGGTAACCATGTCAGAGATATAACCTCGCCATGTCAGAAATGTAACCTCTCTACTTTCCATAATGCCCTATAAAGAAATCTAGTTTCAATAACTGCCTAGACTGGATATTTTTACTACATGATTTTTTCATGTAAAATTGCATTGATATAATCCAGGAACCTGGAATTCCAGGGATTTTTTTTTTTTTGTAAACATAATGCTCTTGTGGCCCAGGGTCAAGCCCTGCAAACTCCTAAATATTATCAGTAGGATGAACATGCCTATTGGGGTGTCTGTTAGGGGCAGTGAAGTACTTGAATAATTGATTATTTGTAACTATATTTCTTTTTTTTTTTTTTAAAAAAGCCAGCCATAAGCAAATCCCACCTGAATACAGGTGAAAGTAGACCCACTAAAGGCACATGGTAAGGAGATGGGTGCATGGTGAACAAGAGAAGGAATGCCATCAAGGTGAAGTTAAACTCTCAAGAAAGAAAGAGTGTCAATAGGAACAGTGTGTGGGAGTCTTTTGGAATCTTAGTGTAGGTATTCATTTGTAGTTCATGGACCTTTCTATGTCTAGTTGACAAAAGCAAAGCAAAGGGTCATTTCCTGCCAGCACATCCACATGGGAATCCCTGGCTTGCCGGGCAGCTGGGCTGTTTTTCTTCTGCTCAGTGCAGGATATTGTACCATAGGACTCTGCTGACACTTCAAGAAGGGGTGGGAGGGGGCCCGAGTGGTAATGCTGCACCTGGAGAAGGCCTCCATGTGGACTGCTGGCAGGTGAGGACCCAGCTTTATGGACCTGGACTGACTCGGTGTTCCAGAGAAGCCTGGAACCCTTGTATTGTAGAGCTTTGGGCCTTGGTGTCAAGCATTGTGCTGGAGGGGAGAGGAATTTCCTCACTGCGGTGCTCTTCTAAGCAGGAAGTGAGGGGTTATGACAGGAACACTTGCCATCTCCCCCAGGTATTTTGTGAGTCCTGAGGGTACAGTTTTGCAGCAAGGATTGCCACAGTGTCCTGGATGTCCCAGTGAGCTTGAAGAGGATGCCCAAAAGCAGAGGTGAGCTTGGTGGCCTACAACAGTGTCCAGCCACCATAAAACAGAAAGCTCGTGGGGTGGCATCATAGCCCATGGCCTGAGGTTTCTGCACCCACCTTCTATTGTGTTCCCAATACTCCTATGCCTCACAGCCTCCTGGGGAGACACACAGCCCAGCTGGCAGCAGATTTCACCCAGCAGCACAGGACACTGGAGCTCTGCACTGTTGCTCCTCCTTGGGGGCCAAGGGCAGCCTTGGGACCTGTACAGGAGAGAACTGGGAGTGGGCAGGAAGGTTGTGAAGAGCAGCAATGACAGGAGTGCAGCTCAGCATCAACACTGCTTGCACTTGTTCCCGCACAAGAGGATAAAGAACAGACTGGCTTCCTCATTCCCCAGTCATATGGCCATGATTGAGTAGTTAGGTACTGACAGATATGGGGGCATGCAGAAAGAGAGTAGCCTCATCCTGGCACCTGCCCCTTTACCCAGAGCCCACCTGTCCTGCCATCATTGCAGAAATCATCCCCTGCCTCCCCCGTGTGGCTGTTTCTTTCTTTGCCTGACACGCACCAGGTCTATGGGTTTCTCTTGGCCCCTCCACACAGAACTTGCATTTACATTCAGGCATGTTTTTTAGGCTTGTTTCCCATGACAGAATTTACTCAGCTTGTAAACAGTGGATGTCTAAACAGTGCTTGAAATTGCCTCCTTTAAGTACACCGTGGCCCTTAGCCAATACTGTGCTCTGTCCTTGTAAGTTCTGTCCCTTAGCACAGTGCTTCAAAAACAGGCCAGCCGACTGATGGGGGACTGACATTACATCTTCAGATGGCATGTTGGGTTGGTGACCCAGTCTCACTTAATGCCTTACAAAAGAGCACTTCACAGTAAAAAATAAAAATGTTAGTGTCATTTTCATCTGGGATTGTAGAAATATTCAAGGGAATCAAAAGATGAGTTGATTTTTTTCTTACATGTATAACTTGAACAGAGTGCTAATGTCCAGCCACTGGTTGACTCCCCAAAAGCCTATGCCTGCCAGGCTTGCCAGTTGGAAGCAGGAGCCTGGAAGTCAATCTGGGTCTCCCACATGGGTATCAGGGACCCACATCCTTGGGGGCATCCCTGCCTTTCAGGCTCCACATTAGTAGGAAAACTGAGCTGGAGATCTAACTCAAGAACCCCGATATGGGATGTAATTCCATATGATGTCTTACCTGAAACTGACAAGAATCAGAAAAACCCAAAAGGTGCTTGGGGGAAGCCCAAACACCGAGTGACTCACAGGATAGTTTCCGAGTTCACTCTTACCAAGGAGATGATAGGAGCAGAGTCTGTTGGTGCAAGGGAGGGAAGGTGTGTTAGGAATAGTTCTAGGATAAAAATTACTGTGGTGGGTGGGCAAAGAGTCCAGGAAATGACCCTCTCAGGATCTGAAAGAGGACAGCCAGGATGGTTGTGAATTATTAGTCCAGGTGACCAGGGGAGTCCCACAGGGCAGAGTGTTCCCCATGTGGCTGGTGGTGATGAGGACAGCCAAGGTGGGATTTCAGGTCTTCCCTGGCATCACTGGATTTTTTGCTCTAAGAAGAGTGGCTGAATGTGTGGGTGAGAGAGAACCCTTCTGGAAGGCACAGATGAGACCCTCTGCAGCTGATCAGCAGTGGAGGCTGTGACTGCTACCTCTAGGGGGATGACAACAGCACAGAACTGTAAGAAGTTCCGACTTGGACTAGACCGAGAAGATGACTCCCTGTGCCTGGAGAAGTGGATGGAAGGAGATGAAGTACGTCCAATAGCTAGCCCAGTGCACAAAACAAGAACTGTTTGCACAGAACTCCTGCTACCTTGTGCAAGTGCCACACTTATAAGACCCTCTCTGGGACCCGGCACAGTAGCCTAGTGGCTAAAGTCTTTGCCTTGCAGGCATCAGGATCCCATATGGGCACCACTCCCGAGTTAGAACAGGCTAATCTTTCAGCCTACAAAATACTGCCTTCTTTGCTGTAGCCTTCTCTGCTTGTCTCCCATGGATTCTGTGACATTTGTTCCTTTGCCCCTGTGGTTAGTTCCTCTGCTATGTTGCTGAAGCCATCATGGACATTGCTTGAGCTCACACGCTGCTGTCACTTCTGTAGTCTAACATTATTGACAACAAAGCTGGGGTTGCCAGAAGCACACAACCATGTGCCTTATATTGGATCATAAATAAGAAATCTGACAAAAGGAAGAAAAAAGTGTGATGGGCCCAATGCAATGGCTCAGCTGGTTAACCCTTCCCTTACAAGTACCAGGATCCAATATGGGTGCTGGTTCATGTCCTGGCTGCTCTGCTTCCCATCCAACTTCCTGCTTGAGGCCTGGAAAAGCAGTAGAGGATGGTTCAAGGCCTTGGGACCCTGCAACCATGTGGGAGAACCAGAAGACGCTCCTGGTTCCTGGCATTGAATCAGTGAAGCTCTGGCTATTGAGGCCATTTGGGGAGTGAACCAGCAAATGAAAGATCTCTCTCCCCTCCTTTCTATAACTCTGCCTTTCCAATTAATTCATTAATTAATCTTTTGAAAAAGATACAAATGGCCAACAAACATGAAAAAATGCTCAGGACCTCTAGCCATTGGGTAAATGCAAATAAAAACTACAATGAAGTTTTACCTTACCCCAGTTAGAAGGGCTGTCATCTGAAAAGCAAAAAACAACAAATGCTGGCAAGGATATGGGGGGAAATGTACTATAATCCACCGTTGGTGGGAATATAACTAGTGCACTATCATTGAAGACAGTTTGGAGATTCCTTAGAGATCTGAAGATAGATCTACCATATGACCCAGCTAACCCAGTCCTGGGGATGTACCCAAACTGAAATCAGCTTATGAAAGAATTATTTATACAGTCATGTTCACTGCAGCTCAATTCACAATAGCTAAAATATGAAATCAAAGCAGATGTCCATCAATGGATGACTGGAAAGAAAATGTGGTATTTATGCTCTATGGAATACTACCTATCCATAAAAGAATGAGATCCTGTCTTTTGCAACAGAATGAATACAATTGGAAATTATACTCAGTGAAATAAGCCAGTCCCAGAGAGAGAAATACCATTCATTTCCCCTAATCTGTGGTAACCAATACACAGAGTACAAGAATGTAACCTATGTGAACAAAAGGGGCATCTTAAGATTTAATTATTATTTACAGCCTGTGCCTATGTTGCTGCAGAAAAGTAGGTTTTCCCTACTTGTTGGATTCTTTACCCATCCTGTGGATGCAAAATGAAGTTATGCCATTGAAGGAGTAGGAAGAAGAGAAGGAGAGAGGGAAGGGGGGGAAGAAAGAAGAATGGAAAGGAATGGAGGAGAAGGAGGGGACGGAAGGGAAAGGAAAGAAGAAAGTAAGGTGGGGGAGGAAAAAATTACCTAGCACTTGTGAACTGAGCTGATTTATAGATGTTATTTAATCCTGAAAACATTGTCGAAGTTACAGAAGTATTACCCCTATATCATGGAAACAAGTAAGACTCAAGACCCTACCAAGGGTTCCAGCCAACGGCAAGGTGAGGACTGGATGGAATGCCTGCACTCACAGAACAAAGATCCCAGTGGACACTGCACTGCCCTCCAGCAGAGGGAGCGCGCAGGGCATATGTCTCCTGTTCACCACAAGAACACGCATCTGTCACTCACCCAAAGCCCTCCCAAGAGATTGAAAGCAAACTTACCCTCCCTAGAGCCCCCTGCGTTTCAAATAAATTCTGAAGACATCAATTGGTCTAATTAAAGAGAAAATTCAATTTTTTGATTATGTTATGCTATGAATATACTGCCATTAGTGTCAGTTACCAAAATGATTCAGTTCATAATATGTTTTAGCCCTGTTCATAAAACACTATAATCATTTTAATCTTCCCCTTGGGAAACTTAAGGACTCTGAAGCCTTTCTTTTTTTCTTCTTTGAACTAATTTATTTATTTGAAACTATAGAGAAAGAAATAGAGATCTTCCATCCCAGTAGGCTACAACAGCCAGCACTGGGTCAGCCAAAGCCAGGAGCTTCA